GTGAACGCTGCTGGCTCCTGCCCACCCCCTCCACCCCACACAATGTGGCTGCTGGCCCTTGCCCCCTGCCCCAGGGTAGCACCTTGAGATAGTACAGCCCCAGTTGGCCCCAGACCCAAAGGTCCAGAGACCTGGCGGGCAGCGTGGCCCCCAAAGCTATGGAGCTCCCCAGCCAGTCTGGAACCCTTGAGAGCTAGAGGGCAGCATGGCCTAAGCACCCCCAGGCTGTGCCTGCTAGCCAGGCTTCTGACCCGCAAGCCCCCCAATGCCCCCCCAGCCAAGCTGCCAGCCCCAGCACTGGGTGGAAAGAGAGGCTCCAGCACCAGGAGGACAGATGTCACAGCCCCAAGCTTGCCTCCCCAGCCTCCATGGCCCTGCAACATCCGACAGAGGGAGAGGGTCTGAGGAGCTCGGGTGGAGCATGGGCAATGCCTTCCCCTGCCTGAGATACCCGCTGCCCCGCGTCCAGAAGTCGAGGTACTCAAGGGTAAGGATGTGGGGTGAGCAGACAGGCTGCAGGGACCTGGGGGCAAAGCTGGACTCTGGCGGTAACTATCCCCCCTGGTTCTCTCTGCTCTGCCCAAGGGCTCACCTAGGGAGCCTCCAGGTTGAGTGTGTGAATCGCCAGCCTGTGGAAGGGAAGCAGGACTCATGGAGCTCTCGGGGGCCGGGGGTGCTTCTTTTGGCAGCAGCTGGTCCTTTTGAGTGAGTTTCCCCCAGCAGGCACAGACAAAGCTTCCTCCTTGCTGCAAGCAGGCAGCAGTGAGCCTCAGGGTTACCTGCAGCACGTCAGGTAAGTGTCACTGTGGGCACCTATTAAACCTGCTGGGTTCTTTTTATTTGCCTGCTGGTGTCTGAACATCCCCAACCCCTTCAGCTTGTCCCTTGTGGTGCACATCTGTCCTGAAGGAGAGGCCTCATCTCTTCCAGAACTTATCTTATCTGCCGCCCTGCTCCTGCTTCTATACCTTTAGGGAAGCTCCTGGCTACGGTTCTTCATGAGGGCTTTGAAGACTGTCCTCTCTTGGTATTCGCACCTCCCCGTCAGCTGCTGGGAGCGAGCCACCTCCACCCTGACAGAATTGGCCTCATTAACACTGGTCCCATGCTTGATAAGTTATACCCCCATCTTTTGATATGTGTGTATATAATCTCCCTGCTTCTGTGATTTCAACTCCATGCATTTGATGAAGTGGTTTTGACCCACGAAAGCTGATGCCCAACTAAATCTGTTAGCCTGTAAGGTGCCACAGGACTCCTCGTTGTTTGAACAGACATAAACTAACATGGCTACACCTCTGAGATCTGTCAGAATTGAGCTTCAGGTTCTGGAGCCTGTGAACAGATCACTGCGGGGTAGGGAAGCTGTGACGGCGCGTTGGGGGTCCCCCGTCTCCTGCACCCCGAAATGGCACAAACAGACTGCACCAGCCGGTGGAATAGAGGAAGTTTATTGCCTCTCCATGATACAGCACAGCACAGATGTAATCTGGTCACAGAGCTGGGCTAGGATGCCTCAGGCCCCCTTGAGATGGGGGGGAGACTGGGCCCCTAAACTCCAGCCCCTCTCCCTAGGCTGTGTCCTCCATGCTCCCAGACAGCAACTAACTCACACTCTTCCAGCCCTGCCCCCCAGCCAGGGCAGCATTCCACCTTCCTTTGTTCCTCTCCATGGGGGGTGTCTGGTTCAACAGGTTTGGCGTTACCTTTGCATAATGTGGTTTTCCCTGCTGGGTCTTGCTCCAGACAGCAGAGGTCACCACAGCCCAGCAAGTACCCCCACTACGTCACAGAAGCACATATAGGCTTCCTCAGAGCTCTGTGGTCTCTAGCGGTTTTGCAGTATTGGCAAACTCATAAATAAACCTTCTGAAACAGAAGCAGAGGCCTATAAAACACTGCATATGTGTGAGCATCGGCGCAGCCTGTTTTTCAGGGTCACAGCTTGTAGTTTCTTTCTGCACCAACGTCTGCCAGATCCACTGAGTCACATTTTTCCCAACTGTGGCTCCTTTTTTACCATTTGCTGTTCTCCAGAAATATTCAGCAACTGATGAGGCACGAGTTCCTCATTCCGATCCCAAGAGCTTTGGCAGCTAAGATTGCCTGGGTCCTCAAAACAGGTTTATCATTCCTCAGTTTTCCTTTAGTCCAAACACTATTGCAGCATGTAGCTATGATAATGGTTTCTTACCCCTGGAGGTAGAGCAGCTTGTTCTCAGCAAGCCACACCTGGGGCCACAATATCTTTAAAGAGAATTTCCACCAACTGGATTTCTACAACAGCCTTCCTGTCATTGATGACACAGTTATGAGCCATGCTGAAATTCAACTAGAGTATCAGCTCCTCCTCTATCTCTGCTACCTATTGCTCCAGTTCCAGAGGTTGACTCTTCAGACCTAGGTTTCAGGTGGTTGCCTATGTCTCTGTCACTGTGCCTATTGAGATCAATTAGTTGCTTCCATTTTGGATTGCCTATTCCCTGGCCTTTTGAGCACAGCTTGTCTAATGATGAGTTTGAACTGGGATCAACTATCCCTGCATGTTTTTCAGAGCCTCTGTCAATAGCCAAACTCCAATGATTGTTGTTAAGTGCCCAGATCTGCTCCATGTACCTCCAATCTTTGTCTATTCAGAATGAGGTTCCCCTGGTTTCCAACCTAAGAGAAGGGCTTTCATTAGAGCTTGTGGCACTCTGTCTTGGACTGATTTATATTTATAATAGTCATCTTTTTAATGGCTAATTTTCCCACAGTGGCAGCATTTAACTTAGTGGCTTTCTGCTTGGACACATTTCTTTTGTTTTAACTGACATTTGTTTTCCCGAGCTGTCATCAACCAGGTTAGAATCCCCTTCTCCATCCTCCCTGTTGAGCACAGGTGGACTCATGGTGATTTTCTTCCTCATTAGCAGCTGCTTTCTCTTCTGGGGCACTGCTCCAAGAGAGAACTCACACTCTGTGGCTAAAATTAAAACCTGCTGGGGATCGTCTTTAGCCTCCTTTGGTTCCTCTTGATCTGTAAGTCCAAGTCCAGCTGAACGTCTACAAACTGGCCTGTTACCAGTTTATCTTGGCAGGCCACAGTGCTAGCTGAATATGCCAAGAATGCAAGTTTGCACTGTCCTCCACCAGCTCAGATTGGTGGGCATCGGTGTTCCCTGTTAGCTGAGTGCTTGGGCAGTCCGCACAGGAGAGATTCAAATGCCACCCGGCTGATTAGCAGAGCACCCACAGCTGGCAACATGTTTCTATTTGTGTGGTGCACACATGCATATGCATTGGCGTACATAACAAAATTTATTCCACAAATGGATGGCAAAAAATAGGGGGGACCATAGATGGCCAGCTCCAAATCACATGTGCCTGGTTTGGAGAGCTCAGTGTCTTTTTCTGGAGGCGGGGAAATTCTGTAACACCAACTGATGTTGGTTATGACTATCCAAGTTGACTGTTAGAACACTCACCCCCACCACTTGTCCTGCCAGCCATTCATTGCACCTGTAATGCTGAACTGAGCCTAGACATGGGACCCGCAGAGACAGACACCTGCAGGAGACTGTCCCCTACGAATGTGAAGGAAATAGTTTGTTGAGATGAGAGGAAAGTCAGGCCCATTCTGTGGCCCTGGGCTGTGCGCAGAGCCAGGGGGATTTATTTATTTCTCTCTCTCTCTCTCTCTCTCTCTCTCTCTCACACTCACACTCACACACCAATAAAAGTATGGGTAAAAAGTGTGGCTTTAGCCTGGCACTGAAACGTTACCAATGTCCCAGGGGACAGAATTCCATAGCCTCGGAGCAAAGGCTGAGAAGGCCCTGTTCTGTGTGGAGCAAAACTGAGCAGAGCCTCCCCAGCTGACCTAAATCCCAGGCAGGTTCATATGGGAGAAGACATTCCTTCAAATACTCCTGTCCCAACGGGTATGTCTACACTACCCCGCTAGTTCGAACTAGGAGGGTAATGTAGGCATACCGCACTTGCAAATGAAGCCCGGGATTTGAATTTCCCGGGCTTCATTTGCATAAGCAGGGCGCCGCCATTTTTAAAACCCTGCTGGTTCGAACCCTGTGCCGCGCGGCTACACGCGGCACGAACTAGGTAGTTCGAACTAGGCTTCCTAGTTCGAACTACCGTTACTCCTCGTGGAATGAGGAGTAACAGTAGTTCGAACTAGGAAGCCTAGTTCGAACTACCTAGTTCGTGCCCCGTGTAGCCGCGCTGCATGGGGTTCGAATGAGCGGGGTTTTAAAAATGGCGGCGCCCCGCTTATGCAAATGAAGCCCGGGAAATTCAAATCCTGGGCTTCATTTGCAAGTGCGGTATGCCTACATTACCCTCCTAGTTCGAACTAGGAGGGTAGTGTAGACATACCCAACCTGTTTAGGGCTGTTATAGGTCATAACCAGGACCTTGAATTGTGCCCGGAAACATACCAGAAGCCAGTGCAGCTGCCAGAGCGCCGACATATGTGCTCCATATAATGAGTGTTAATTAAAACTTGAGCAGCCGCATTCTAAACCAGCTGAAGTTTCCGTAGACTCTTAAAAGGCAGCCCCGCATAGAGCGCCTTGCAGTTGTCCAATTGGGATGTGACAAGAGCATGAATCACTGTAGCCAGGTCATTCTTATTCAAGAAGGGTCGCAGCTGGCGGATCAGCTGAAGCTGCCCAAAAGCACGCCTGGCCACCAAGGAAATCCAGTTCTCAAATGTTAGAAAAGGGTCCCAGAGGACTCCCAAGCTGTGCACCTGTTCTGTCAGTGGGAGTGTAACTTCATTCAGAACAGGCAACACACTACAATCCCAGATAGATGGCTTTCTGATCCACAGGACCTCTGTCTTATCTGGATTCAGCTTCAGCTTATTTGACTTCATCCAGTCCATCAGCGCCTCCAGACACCGGTTCAGATCAGTCGCCGTCACACATGGATATGATGTCACAGAGAAATAGAGTTGCTCAGCAGCCTCCAGACACCGGTTCAGATCAGTCGCTGTCACACATGGATATGATGTCACAGAAATAGAGTTGTGTGTCATCTGCTTATTGATGGCACAGTTCTCCAAATCTCCTTATGACCTTGCCCAGTAGTTTCATGTAGATGTTAAACAACAGAGGGGATGAGATGTGACCTTATGGGACCCCATAGCACAATCACCACAGGGTCAAGCAGCAGCCCCCTAGCTCCATCATCTGAAAGCATCCGATAGGTAGACCCGGAACCACCGCAAAACAGCTCCTCTGATACCCAGCTCTGCCAGGCGCTCCAGAAGGATACCATGGCCGATGGTATCGAAAGTCACCGAGAAGTCCAAGAAAATCAGCAGGGATGTTCCAAAACTAGGCCTGAAGCCAGACCAATGCATTCATCCTCCAATTTGGACCCCTTTCTAAGCTATAAGAGGAGCATTTCCTGAGCTGCAACAAAACAGACATCACCAGTGACTGGATGAGATACATTTCATGCTGGATTCTTTCTGTTCTTACTTGTCAGGGTGCAAAGCTGGTCTGGGGGGGAAGGAGGCTGTGTGAATTCCTGATCAGGGATACAGAGCAGTGAGGATGTCTCCATATTCACAACCATGCTCTTCAGTCATATATGGAAGTCTTGGGTCAAAGGGCCCAGCTAGTGCAGCATAGTCACATCAGGGGATGAGTTCTGGGTCACTGTGCAGGAGAGGAGGTGGACTCAGGAAAGTTGCTATCTTACCCCTGTCACAGATGGATAACAGGTTTGGGGACCATTGGCTCTGCCTCCCACAATACAGTGGGCAGCAACACTGGTGATGCACTGAGACAAGTATATTGGACCAGGTACAGACCCAATGCAGTTTGCCCCATCTCCAGAAGAATGGGGAGACTAGAAGGGACCATGTAACTTGACCAGGATGCTCTCGGGGCAAAACAAGAACTGGCTGTTCCATATTCTGTGCTCAGAGGACAGCTATGGGCAGTGGAACACGTCATAGTGTGAATGTCAGAGGCTCTCACCATGTCTGTTTGGCACCATCTCCCTGGAGTTCCTCCCGCACCGCACGCTCACCCAGATGGCAGTACAGATGATGCACAGGAAGCTGGGAATGATCAGGAACAGAGAATAGAGGATGTTGGGTTGGAGTCTATGCAAAAAAAAATACAATGGAGACAGTAAAGCTCTGTAGATTTGTCAGGCTCCTCCCAATTTAATGTTCCCTGGCTGCTCTCGGGGTAAAGCTGCAAATCAGATTTAACTGGGGAGAATCCTAGAATCCTAGAACTGGAAGGGACCTCGAGAGGTCGTCGAGTCCAGTCCCCTGCCCTCATGGCAGGACCAAGCACCATCTACATCATCCCTGACAGGTGTCTGTCTAACCTGCATTTAAATGTCTCTATTGATGGAGATTCCACAACCTCCCTAGGCAATTTATTCTAGTGTTTAATCACCCTGACGGTTAAGAACTTTTTCCTAATGTCCAAGCTAAACCTCCCTTGCTTCAATTTAAGCCCATTGCTTCTTGTCCTATCCTCAGAGGCCAAGGAGAACAATGTTTCTACCTCCTCCTTGTGACACCCTTTTAGATACTTGAAAACCACTATCATGTCCCCTCTCAGCCTTCTCTTTTCTAAACTAGACAAGCCCAATTCTTTCAGTCTTCCCTCATAGCTCATGTTCTCTAGACCTTCAATCATTCTTGTTGCTCTTCTCTGGACCTTTTCCAATTTCTCCACATCTTCCTTGAAATGCGGTGCCCAGAAGTGGACACACTACTCCAACTGAGGCCTAACCAGTGCAGAAAAAGGAGCACACTGGGCCTCAGCCCCTCTCCTTAAGCCAAACCCCAGGGTCCACTTAGGGGACTCATTCAGTCAGGCAACAGCAGTCTGCTGTGACTGGACTCAGAAGGTCCCTGTCCAGGGCTTCTCTGCACCTGTGTGATGGGTTGGAGCTGCCCCGCGCAGACGGGGACGATCCGCCCTGCACTTCCCCGATGGTTGCACACAAGTTCCTTGGGGCCGGACAGGAGGTGCGCGGCCGCGGCCCAGCTGACCAGCGTGGGGGCCAGTCGCCGGGGAACCCTGCATGCCGGGCTACGTCTGACGTCAGGGGACATCCTTGGCCCTGGGTCGGCGGGTGATGTCATGAGAAAGTGACCCAGGTAGGAAGTTGGGGTGGGGGGAAGAAGGGAGGAAGGAGAGATAAGAAAGGGTGGATGGTGGTGATGGTGGTGTTGAGTGGCAGCAGTAGGAAGCAGCCCAGGGCAGGGCATTATAGGATTTGCCGGTGGGCTGGTGCGTTTCGGGTATTAACCCCACCAGCCGGAAAGGACACCACTACAGCCTGTCCTTAGGGCCTTGCTCGTGAGAGAGGGCAGGCCTGGGCCCCCCTACCCCACCCCCCTGAATGGAGAGAAAGGAGGGGTGGTAGCATCAATAGCGATTTCGCACGCCGAGAGAAGGGACGTTGCGGGGACTTGACTCTGCCCATCCTGGTGTAGGAGCCGGACTGAGAGACTCACTGGGTGGGGACGCGGGGCACTTTTGTACAGCCTGGAATTTCCATAGTCCCTCTTGTGAATCCAGCCCTACTGACCCTCCAGGTTGTTACTGATAAAAGCACTGTTGGTTTTTCAGTGGGATGTTATCACCCACCAGTGACGTCATTCTTCTTTGCTCTGCTGGGCCCTGGGAGGGGATGCCCTGGTCACGTTTTGGGAGCTCTTTTCTCTGAGTTGGCCACTGGGGTCTTAAAAACTCCCGGACCCATCAGTACGATGGTTGTGAGGGGAGGGGGGCTGTGGAGGGGACAATAAATGGAGCTGGTTTCAATAGGTGCATGCAAGAGAAGCTGGATCCCAGCACCCACCGAGAATCCTGCAGAGCCATGGAATGGGAAGTCTCACTGCCATTCACTAGCTGGCACAGCTGAGATGCTGCAGAAATCTTGGGGTGCAGGGGGGAGCTGAAGGACACCCAGCCGTTGCCTGTGCCGGGTTCGGGGAGAGGAAGCCACAACCCAACTGGACTGTGGTCTCTGGTACATACGGGGCTGGGATGTCCCTGCCATCCAAAGAGCTGTTCGTAGTGGATGCCAATGGGCTGGCTGCGTGGCTTGCGGTAGGAATCCCTGTGCTGGCAGGCCCCACTGGCTGGTGTGTTGCTGGAGGGGCCTTTTCCCTTGGGGTTGAAAGAGGAAGACCTGCAGGTAAAAGCAGAAATTCAGCACCATGAAAACCCCAAGCCATGTCTCCTGCTTCCCCCGCCCCCTCCGGGAAGAGCCTTTCTGGTGTCTGTCACGGAACTGTCACCTTAGCCCTGGCCCACACCAGAATCCCAGCGGCAGCATTTTGTCAGGGCTCCTGGGCCTCAGGCCTTTGGAGCAGCTCCTGGGCACGGGGAGGCTGAGCGGTGCAGGCATGCGGCTAGCTTAGGGGCGTGGCTGGGGGCGTGACTCTGGCTTCCAGGCAGGTGTGCGGCCCATTCGTGAGAGGGGTCCACAGGCGCTTGGCCAGCGCCGCTCACACCTTCCATTTAACAACCTCTGCAGTGGTGAGCTCGCCCTGTTGGTCCCAGGGCAGGAGAGAGATGAGGTGGGGAGGTTACGTCTTCTACTGCATCGAGTTCTGCTAGTGAGTGAGATCAGCCTTTGAGCTTTAGTGGAGTGGGGAACCTAAGGCCCGGGGCTCCCAACTTGCCTGGATCCCACCCCCGACGCTCTGGACTCCCCCCTGCCCTCAGCATTGGGGAGCCCATGATGGTGCTCCAGCCCACCCCCCACACTGTCCCTCTGTGGGGCTGGATGTGGCTGGAGCACACAGATCTACGAGGCTGGGCCCCCCTAGGCTCTGGTGTGTGAGGGGAACGGGGGGAGTGTCTTTCTCCTTCTCAGTCAGGGGTCACATCAGTGAGGGGTTGTGGGATTTTGTTTCTCCTTCTCAGTCAGGGGTCACGTCAGTGAGGGGTTGTGGGATTTTGGGGGTTGGGGTTTGGTTTTTTTTGCTTCTCACTTGTATGTCCCCCTCCCCCAACTGATTTTTTTCTGGGTTAGCGGCCCCTTCCCCAAAAAAGGTTCCCACCCCTGGCCTACAAGGAGCTCTCCCTTGGGCCTAGGAAAGGTGCGGGGGTCTGAGGAGAGCTGTGATGCTCGAGTACCTTTCCCAGACGAGCTCTGTGTGGCTCGAATGCTGCTCTCTCTGCAGAAGTTGGTGCGATAAAAACAAGAGTAACCATCTAGAGATACTTCCCCTCATTTACACACTCGTGTCTCACTTTCCCCCAAGAAACACACCCACCCCTTTGGGAAATGACTCCTCCCCTCCCCCCTGTTCTTCTGTCCCCTCTTTCTGGCAGAGGCAGGCTGGGGCTGGGGGCTTGGCTCAGTTTTGCGCAGCTTTAGGGACATGGCTGGAATAGCACTGCGTCAAGGATGCTGTGGGGCTGGAGTGGAGGGGTGAATTTACCTGTTTGCAATCAGGTGGGAGTTCCTTTTCCCCTATGGGTGGCTGGGCCCCCAACCCCACCCCTTCTGCCCATGCCACACCCCCCAACATGGAGAGGGCAGGTGGCAAGCAGGCCAAGCCTCCCCAGCCCCAGAGCATGGGGAGGGCGGCATTGGGGGGAAGCAACACCCCGTCCCCGGATGCTACAGTAATAAGGCTATGTCTACACTGGCGGCTTCTTGCGCAAGAATCTGCAGAGCATCCACACGGCCCGCCCGCTCTTGTGCAAGGAAATGTACAGTACGGCGTGGGAAGAGAGGGCTCCTGCACGAGAGCTACGCTCTTTTTTAACAGGTGTAAGCCCTCTTGAGCAGGAGCTCTTGTGCAAGAGGGCACGGTGCACGCTCAGCAGGGATTTCTTGCGCAAGAAACCCCTATGGCTAAAATGGCCATTGGAGCTTTCTTGCGCAAGAGAGCGTCCGCACTGCCATGGATGCTCTTGCACAAAAGCACAGCTCGCACATGGCAGTGTGGGCGTTTTCTTGCGCAAGATTTCTCAGCCGCCAGTGTCGATACAGCCTAAGGGTTCTGGGAGTGGAACGTGGGTGGAGCCAGGCTGGTGGTTAGGGAAGGCAAAACCTTCTCCTGCCTAGTATATCAACTGCCTATGCCTCCCCCACATCTGGAGCCCTTTGTAGGAGGCAGCAGCAGTGGGTTAGAGAAATATCTTCAGAACTACAGAACAGAACCCCCTCCCACACCCTGCCCCTCCCTCCTCCAGCTCCTCCTCTCCTGCTGTTGCCATGGGGGAGCCCTGGCAGGATTTACCTGGAGAGACGATGACTTCCACCGAGTCCCTGGGATTAGGTAAACCAATCCTGGCTACCCCGCAGAGGTAAGTCCCTGCGTCCGCCAGCGTCAGGTTCTCCAGGGTTACTGTGAACACGCGCTGGGTGTGATTGTCGCGGATGGCAACTCTGCCCCACTTCTCTTCTGCCTCCGACCCCGTGGTCTCAAAGATGAGGTGATTGAAACACAGCACAACTTTGCGTCTGCACCAGAATTTTGGAGAGAGCTCGTAGTCGGCCCCGTACTGGCACTGCACAGACACTGAGCCGCCCGGCGGGCCATGCACTGCCCCAGGGCCTGTCACGGCCCAGCAGCCTGTGAGAGACAGAGAGAAACTCAGACTCTTGCAAGCTGGAAGCAGCAATGAAATGTAGCCAGTGCTGGGGAGCAGCGCAGTTGTGGGGGATTCTTGTGTGCAGCAGGAGGGGCAGAGCTGGGAGAACTGGCAGGGCCTGCGGGGTGAGGGTTACTTTAACTCAAGGGAGGACATGCTGAAACCTTGCAGGCACGGGCATTGCCATTCAATGTTTCTTTTCCTTTGCCGAGAACAAAGGAAATTGTTTCTCTCCTTATAACTGGCTGGAGATTGCTCCTTCCATGCAGGGTGCTTGTATCTGGCTTTACTATCCCTGGGTATGTCTACACTACCCTCCTAGTTTGAACTAGGAGGGTAATGTAGGCATACCGCACTTGCAAATGAAGCCCGGGATTTGAATTTCCCGGGCTTCATTTGCATAAACTGGGCGCCGCCATTTTTAAATCCCTGCTCGTTCGAACCCCGTGCCGCGCGGCTACACGCGGCACGAACTAGGTAGTTCGGACTAGGCTTCCTAGTCCGAACTACCGTTACTCCTCATGGAATGAGAGTATCCACACTGCCATGGACTCTCTTGCGCAAGAAAGCTCTGATGGCTATTCACAGAATGGCCATCAGAGCACCTGTGCTTTTTCTGATGGGGTTTCTTGTGCAAGAAACCCCTGGTGTTCGTCCACACACACACCTTTTTGCACAAGAGCTCTTGCACAAAAAGGCTTATTCCTCATAGAAAGAGGAATAACTCTTGTGCAAAAAGCCCTGTCTTCTGATGATCTACGGTACTTTTTCTTGTGCAAAAATGTGCTTGTAGTGAGGATGCTCTGCAAGTTTTTGTGCAAAAAAGACCGGTTTTGTGCAGAAACTCTGCAGTGTAAGATGTAGCCTAAGTGACTATGCAAAGCGCAAGACTATGGCGAACTGCCAGTGGGCCACCCGTAGCTAATAACGAGAGCTAAGGTGCTTCACTGCAGCACCCTGTGTTGCTGAGCCCAAACATTCTGAAAACAGGCCCATCCTTCCCAAGAAAAATGGGGCATTTCTTGTCCTGCCTTTCTGGATTTGTCTGTAGGCTGCACTCTTGGCAGTTTTTCTCTGCTCACCCCACTCTAGTGTTTGATTTAAGGAGCACTGAGATTCTCTCACATTCACACGACTGTCTGGGCAGAGCTTTAAAGGAAGCAAACAACTACCACAAGCCTAGGACCCTCCTCCCCAGTGTTCTCCACAGAGAGCTTTCTTAGGGTGCAGATGCAAATCTTCTCTGCCTAGTTTGTAGGCTTCATCTCCCATAGGCTGCAAGCACTGCAGGAGCCTGGGTGGGGCTTCCCACCTCTGCTGGTGAAGCTGCCACACAAGCTTATGCCATAATAAAGTTGTTAGCCTTTAAGGTGCCACCAGACCCCACTGTCAGCTCACAGGGCCAAAGGACAGACAGGGTGATGGGATTCACTTCAACACAGCCGATTAGGGATAATGTACTTTATTAAGCTTACTACTCCACTGCTACTACACATCACAGGGTACCCTCTAGCAAGCGACAGCGCTACAGAACAATGCTTAAAGGAGTAAAAGGTTCCATGGAATGCTGATGCCTCTTCTGCCACAGGGAGTCCTGATCCCGAGATGCCTCACATCTGGGCCGTGGCGGACGTGGCTCCAGTTGGGGAATTCGGGGCACCTCTGAGACTGGAGGTCTGCGATGAGACTCAGCTAGGGGCGGGACTTCCAGTGATCTTATACTTTAGGGCTACGTCTACTCTGACCAGTCTTGCACAAGAACATATGCAAATGAGGCATTTGCATATGCTCTTGTGCAAGACTGGCCGGTGTAGACATAGCCTGGCTGTTTACTGAGTGTGCACAAGCTGGCTCAGTACCACTGTTAATGTTCCCACGGGGCTGAGAACCGAGGTCATGTGATCTATCCCATAGTCGGCTCTCAGCTAGCAAGCACAGGGAGTTGTGGCCGATGAAGGCCGTCTAAAAAGGAATACTTGGGCTACGTCTAGACTGGCATGATTTTCTGGAAATGCTTTTAATGGAAAAGTTTTCCGTTAAAAGCATTTTTGGAAAAGAGCGTTTAGATTGGCACAGATGCTTTTCTGCAAAAGCATTTTTTGCGGAAAAGCGTCCGTGCCAATCTAGACGCGCTTTTGTGCAAAAAAGCACCGATCACCATTTTCGCCATCGGGGCTTTTTTTGCGGAAAACAATTCTGAGCTGTCTACACTGGCCCTTTTGTGCAAAAGTTTTGCGCAAAAGGGACTTTTTCCGAACGGGAGCAGCATAGTATTTCCGCAAAAAGCACTGATTTCTTACAGTAGGAAGTCAGTGCTTTTGCGGAAATTCAAGCAGCCAGTGTAGACAGCTGGCAAGTTTTTCCGGAAAAGCAGATGATTTTCTGGAAAAACTGGCCAGTCTAGACACAGCCTTGGGGTTTATGCTGACCAGGCTTTACTTTGTACAGCTGAGATGGACACTTCCATTCTTGCTGTTTGAGGCTGCAGGCAGGCCTGCCGGCATGTCTCATGATACCCTTGTTGTTTTTGCTGAAACAGACTAACCCTACTACCACTCTGAATCTTGTAAACTGTGCAAGCCCAGTCGCTAAAGTGTGTAAACAGCAACCCACCCAGTGCCCACGCCCTCCTCACCTGGGAAAAGAATCCACATCCTGATGAGGAGGAACTTCATGGTCCTGGTTTCCTCTGCATTTGACTCTCTCTCTCTGGGAAAATCAGGTTTCTGTGAGACGGCTGGGACCCTCCTTTCAGACTCGTTGAAGGTGAAACCTGAAGACTCTGGAACCAGTTATGTAATGCGAAGTTTCTAGCTCTCTCTGCTGCCCACTTCCCTTTTCAGAGGTGGTTATTTCATTAGGGGAGGAAGTAGCTTGACGCCCATTCCCAAGGGTGGTGTTTACTGTTTACATTAAGGAGCAGGCGATCACAGCGTGAAATGTGACTGATAAAAAAACTTTGACCCAGCTACACAGATTGGATGATGGTAGAGCCCTGGAAAATGCTGCTCATTGCTACACGGTCTAAGGCAGGGTCACCAAGTGCCCTTAGATACCTGCGGTTGCCCTATGCCACCTGACTGGGCTAAGGGGCCTAGGCTCTTGGCTGTGTAATTGCAGTGTAGACATGCGGGTACAGGCGGTAGCCTGATCTCTGGGACCCTCCCTCCTTGCAGGATCCTAGAATCATGGCCAAGCCTGAACCTTACACTGAAGTTACAGGCCCTTAGCCTGGGCCTGCGAGCTCGAGTCAGCTGGTACAGAGCAGCTGCAGGTTTTTAATTGCCGTGTACACTGGAGATCCTCAGCCTGTGACCCAATTAGCACACCTCTGTAGATGGTAAAACATCCTCGTGGCCATACTGGTAAGAACATAAGAATGGGCCATACTGAGTCAGATCAAAGTCCATCTAGCCCAGAACCTGTCTTCTGACAGCAGCTAATCCACAGTGCCCCCGAGGGACTGAACAGAACAGGTATCATCAAGTAATCCATCCTCCGTCACCCATTCCCAGCACTGACAAACAGAGGCTAGGGACACCATCCATTCCCCATCCAGGTTAATAGCCATTGATGAACCTAACCTCCATGAATCTATCTAGCTCCTTTTTGAACCCTGTTAAAGTTCTAGTCTTCGCAACATCCTCTGGCAAGGAGTTCCACAGGTTGACTGTGTGTTGTTGGAAGAAATACTTCCTTTTGTTTGGTTTAAACCTGCCACCTATTAATTTCATTTGGTGACCTCTAATTCTTGTGTTATGGGAACAAGTAAATAACTTTTCCTTATTCACTTTCTCTACACTAGTCAAGATTTTACAGACCTCGATCATATCCCCCCTTAGTCTCCTCTTTTCTAAGATTAAAAGTCCCAGTCTTAATTACTCTCTCGTATGGCAGCCGTTCCCAACCCCTAATCATTTTTGTTGCCCTTTTCTGAACTTTTTCCAATGCCAAGAGGTCTTTTTTGAGATGAAGTGAAAACATCTGCATATAGTATTCAAGGATTTATATAGAGGCAATAAGATATTTTCTATCCCTTTTTAAATCCCGTTCTGTTTGCTTTTTTGACTGCTGCTGCACATTGAGTGGATGTTTTTGGAGAACAATCCACGGTGACTCTAGATCTCTCTCTTGAGTGGCGACAGCTAATTTAGTCCCGTCATTGTATATGTATAGTTGGAACTATGTTTTCCAATAGGCATTACTTTGCATTTATCAGCATTAAAATTCATCTGCCCTGTTGTTGTTGCCCAGTCACCTAGTTTTGTGAGATCCTTTTGAAGCTCTTCACAGTCTGATTTGGAGTTAACTGTCTTGAGCTTATCTATTTTGTGCATACAGCCCACATAACACGCAGAGAATGGCATAATCAGCCCACAGTGGTAAACAGGTTGAGAACTGCTGATGTAAACTTACCTCTGAGGCTTCCGCTGTTGGGGTGTCTCCCAACTCCTTTATGATTGCATAGGACAACCCTGAGGTTGTTCCCACTCAAGCATTCAGAAATCACATGTAGGTCTGAAGCAACCATCGGCTTAGCTTTAAAATCTCAAGAAGTCCTTTTTTAAAAGCTATTGTTTGAATCCGGTGGGTGCACTTGGCTCGTCTTTTCAAACTTTTTTCTGCTGCCATGCGCCTGGGAACATTTTTTCTGTTTCTAAGGAAATCGCAGATCCTCCCATAATCCTGATCATCCAGGAACTGAAGCTTTACCAAAGCACGGATCAGTGTAAGGCTCGCACTAAAATCACGAGAGCTGGTAACACTGCAGGCATCCGGGTGGATCTGGCAGGAGCGGTGCAGGCAGGGGACTTAGCACGGGGGTGAGCAGGGAACGAGTTTAAAGGAGAGTGGAGTTCCTGTGGGGCAAGTGGGGAGATGGAGAAGATACCTCCCCTTTCCTCCCTCTGGCATCCTGACTCGGTGTGGGGTTAATGCAGGTGCTAGTGTGTGTGAGGGGACTACTCCCCCTAGTGGTGCA